CTTCACAACTCCAAAATGTATCAACTATTTGTTTCTCAAATAAAGATTTCCTATAAAAACGAGTCGAAATTGTCTAAAATCATCCATGTGCTTTTATATGTTTCCCAATATTTTACATTAAATTTAAGAGTAACCTCCTGCTATCTTGGATTCAAGAGTAGCTTCTTACTATTTTGATCCAATTACACTAACCATGATTGATAGATTTGATTGTTTTCCATTACAATGATGTAGGAACCCTCTTAGAAATAAACCTCAGTAATGTTCCGATGACTTTCTCAAATGTTCCTGGATGTTCATATTTGTTTCCCTTAAAATTCTGAATTGGTACTCCAGTACCTTTGCAAGTTGTACTTCCTAAATTGCATTTATGTTATTCCCAGATTAAACCAATCACAATAAACGTAATGCCCCTACAACGTGGAATGTTTAAAGACTTAAAGCCATATTAATGGCAAATACAGGAGGCTACATGAGCTTAATCTAATACACGCCATCGGAATTGATGGCCCTGATTGTTTTTTCGTTAATGGCGTCACGTCTTTGCGCTATCCAGGAGGAAACTATTTAGTGATTTGGGCTCGAACTCGAATTCACCAGGAAATCCGATTTTGAGAGATAGATATACTAAAGTAATACTTCGGAACGTTTCTGCTTTTCTTCAGTGGGTTGGAATTCTGAAATTGTGCCAAGGGGGTATTAAAAATCGAACTAAGTATAGAAAATGGTTATTTATTTCCCTCAAGCGCTGCGAAACTTATGGTAGAGAAATTTTGTTTTTATATTTATAAGACTTCAACGATTTTAGTTCAATAGATATAATATACAATATATACAGTTATATAAAAATAATCAGTTATTGGGATTTTTTTTGTAAAAAGGCATTCATAAGTTTTGAGCTTTCTTTTGTGATAAAAACACCAGTTATTTTGAAAACTACAAAAATCAATGACACTAATCAAAACACATTTTTAACATTTATATTCTGAAAAACGAAAAGAAAAATATAAAAATTTGATTTTAATCCTACAAACTTCTTGGAACTAAATAGATAATAATTCTTATACAATGCATTTTCAAATTAATTTTTAAATTTTTAAATGTAGAGATTGTAATTATTATCTCTAGGTGACATTTATTACTATCCACCTCCAGAGCTTTTTAAAAGTTCTAACTTTTAATTTCTGTCAGAAAATAATTTGCATATTTGGTGGCATTATTGTGAGAAAGTGCATTCTGAACTATGAATATACTTAGCAAACTTTCCAAGAGCTTTTAGCTCTTATCAACATTAATGTGTTCTTTTACAGTAGTAATTTTATAATCAGACATTCTTTTATCGGTGTAATTGTACAAAGTGATTCATGAATAAATATTTTTTGTTAGAAAAGTACGATTGTTCCTGGTTATAAATTGCAGTGTTGGTATAAGATAAGGTTATGAATTGTTGTAATTGTAGTAGGTAATGTTATTTTTCAATGTAAAGAGCAAATACTTTATTGTATGGAGTAAATACATATGAATTTGATTTCAGGGTCAGAAATGTCTTCGAAAATGTTCTTCAGACGAGGATTGCAGTCTAAGAAGAAGAAATGTTTGTGTGATGGAGGCGTGTGCATTCTTGCATCAAACCAGGCAGGTGTTTATTAATAAATACATTTTATTATAATATTTGTGTGAATACTACTACAAAACTAGTAGAATTTCTAACGAATTGATTTTTGAATAATTTATGAATACTGCTGTCAGACTTGGTCAGAATGGATTTTTTTTTTTGTTTACAATAATAAATAGCAATCAGAAAAATAATTCTATAAGCTATTGTGTTGATTATTAGAACTCCAGTAACAGTATTGGAGTTCTATATATATGACATGACGGAGATCACCCCTGTGGCTACTCCATTTAATGCATTAGAACGAGGGATGCTTCTTCTTCAATCTTCTAATATGTGATGCTTGTAAAACGGAAATTCATGTGGGGTTGTTGTGGTTGATGATCGTGTCATGATGATTCCACCTCTGTTTTTCACTACCTCCTGGACAGTATCGATTCTTAGATCGTTATGTAGTATTCGGTTGCTGACATACCAAGGTGCATTTGCAATACATCTTAAAATTTTAGATTGTTTCCTTGGATAGATGAAATTCTTGATTTACTGGCGCAGCCCCACACTCTACGCCATAAGTCCAAATCGGTTTATTGTCGCTTTATAAAGTAGAATTTAGTTTTCTAATGATAATTTAGATTTAGAATAAGCCAGAACAGTGAAGAAGTGGATATTTTACTAATATTTTTGTTTCATAGTTTGTCCATCTCAATTTGTTAAAATGAAAATATTTTCACCCAATACATTTTGAATTTTATAATTGGCATCATTTAATAAAATCGAAACACTAAATCCATGAAGTAAAATTGTTATGTCCTCTTGTGTGAAAGAGCGATATAAAATCCAATCTTTTTATATAAAAGTATACCATAACGTTGCTAGTAGATACGTGTACTTACGTAATATTTTATAAGATAAATATGATAAATACAAACATGTATTTCCCGAATGGCCGTTGAGTAGCGGATGATTGTCTTAAGAAGAAATAATTCATTATATACAACCCCAGCGCGATAACTGCCCAAGGGGTGAACATCCCTTGTATCGAATACACCTTCATGTAACTTATATACACGTTCGTCTTGTAAAGTATATACCTACATAAGCGTTAAAACGGTATTCCGTTTAAAGAAGAATTATTTGTATCCAACACGGTAACGCAAGCCACAATTACTTTGATCTGTTTTATGAAATACGGGCACGTGAAGAGAGAAAATAATTTCGCGTTCGTTAATAATTTTGTTCCTGATGATTGTGCGCTTAATAATAAGGTTTCGAAGCCATTACCGGGATCGTTTTGAGAGAGCGATACTATTATAATGGTATAGAGTGCATGTAGGGTGGTCGTATTCAGCCGGGCCGTGGCCCCCTTGGTCAGACCGCACTACTGCCCATTTAAGCGCCTTTAACACATTGATATGGAAGACATTTTTGGTAATGTTTCTCGACGCCGGACCGCCCGGCCAATTCGGAAAATGACGACGGACGGAACATAATAACCAATCAGGATAATGATAAATAAATTTTGGGATGACTTTGGATGATACTAATTTACTGAGATCTATCATTTTAGGACACATTTTATTCTAATTTATTTTATTATTATAGTTATTATTCTAAGATTTCCGTTTACCTCTCTTTTATAAAGTTTGTGTGACTATTCTTGATTTTCCGGACATTTTTCCTATTCAGAGAATCTGAACTCGCGCGAGACCTTCAGTTTAGTGACAGAATAATTTCTGAAGGACCCAGCCAATTTACTTTATTGCTCTTATCTCGAGACATGAACGAAACGTCAGACACGTTTAAGCAGAACTTTATTCTTGGATCCACGAATGAACGTACACAGAATGCTCTTTCAAGGGAGCTTTTATACTGTGATAAAATTATGTAATATTGTTTATGCGATTTTTTATTTCTAATAAGCTATAAAAGATAATGATTACCTATTTTTCTTTTAAGGTAAAAATTACACAAATTGCCTGAGGCAATTGGTTTCAAAATACATGCTCGATTAGTAATATGAATAATAATTTTTATTAATTATATTTGTATATTGACACTAACTTCCATCATCGTTTTTTTGAATAAAATTTGTACTAATGTAAACAAATCGTCAGTAATGACCTTAAGGGGCACAACTAGTGT